CACTCCAAATTTTAAAAAAAGTGCATTTGTAGGAAAAACACCAGGAGACACACCAAAATGTTAGCTGTGGGTCTCTAGGAAGCAGGACAATGATGATTTCTATTTTCATGCTTTTCTGTATTTTTCAAAAGGTCTATACTAAAAATATTTGCTTGTGTGATTAGAAAAAAAATAGTAACGTCATACAACCAGGATCCAATGCTCTGACAAGCCAATGGTTCCATGAGGTACATTTCAGAGAGTAAGTCTGCTCTGAACCTAACCAGCTGGGGTTTAGCCCCATTCCCACTGTACTCTATGGGACTGCACAATCCAATGCTTCTGTAATAAAAACTAACTTGTCTAAAGGTTCACAGTTTACAAGCACTTTCACATGCCTTATCTCTCTTGATTACAACAATGCCCTGAGGAAGACATTTCCATAACATAATACTTTCTGTTGCTAAATTAGTTTTTTTTCTTTTATCATTGTGTATGTGTTTTAGTCAAACTATGACAGCAGTGCTTTTTTCAAGGTCAAGTAAATGTTACTTGAGGGCTTTCTATGCAGTGGGTTCTGTGGAGGACAAAATGGGGAATCAGCAGAGTCCTTTTCCTCCAACAATGCTTTAGGAGGGAAGGGAAGGTCGTCACAGAAACAAAGGCTCCAAGGCAGCCTGTCATGAGTACTAGAATTGAGGCACCAGGCACTGTGGGAGGATAAGGGAGAAGAGAGTAGAGGGGGCTGGACTGGACTATGGACAGAGGGATGTGGGGAAAGAACATTTTACTCCTTCTTTTAGCAAACCCCCTACTGAACCTGTACTAGATACCACACACAGCTGTGTAGGCACTGGAGGGTCAAAGGTAAGCAGGACAGATGACACTTGCCATCCAGCTGCTCAGCCACATAAACAACTAGAAAACAATACCGATGAGCAGTGACACCCCAGCCCAGGGGTTTATGGGAGCTCTGGGCATAGCAGAGCCATGCAGACTGGAGGACCTGAGAACAGGTTGTGGTAGATGGGCTGAGCAGGAAATGCTTAGAAGAAAAGTTGAAAAACGGAGCCCTTTCATACCCCTCTACTCCCCAAGCTGTTCCATCTTCTTCTGATAGTTGGTTAGGGACTGGTATCTCTGAGACTTGACAACTTTGGGAAAGCACTCTGAAACTACAGTGGTCACTAACAGGTACTTCTGATCTTGGCTCTGCTGCAGCTTCAAAGAGAGAAACATGAATAACAAGCAGATAAAGTAGGATGGGGGTGGGAGTAGGGGGAGTCCCTGGGTGGTGCAAATGGTTAACGTTCTCAGCTGCTCACCCAAAGGTTGGAGGTTCCTGTTCACCCAGAGGTGCCTCAGATGAAAGGCCTGGCCACCTACTTCTGAAAAGCCAGCCACTGAAAACCCTATGGACACACTTTCAGAGAAAAGTTAACACCAGTACTACTAAAGGTATTTCAGAACATAGAAAAGGACTGAATACTCCCAAACTCATTCTATGAAGTCAGCATAACCCTGATACCAAAACCAGGTAAAGACACCACAAAAAAAGAAAATTACAGACCAATATCCCTCATGAACATTGACACAAAAATCCT